GACTTGCCTTGGGGGCCACATCCTCTGGCTCTTGCCTCCGCTGTCCATTTGGAGGGCCTGGCTCCACTGTGCCTCCACTCTCCCTGGGGGAGGCTCCCACGCCCTCCTCGCCCCGCAGGAATCTGGCTTCTCTGGGCGGCGGGCAGCAGCCTCTCTACCTCATCCGGCCTGTAGCAGGGCATCCTCAGAGGCCTGGCTCCTGGAAGCTGCGTGCGGGCAGAGAGCTGACCCCAAGGCTGTCTGGGGGACCCTTGGCCGTCCGGAGCTGGGCAGGACTGACAGCCGCCTCCTGGAGGGTCTCAGCGAGGGCAGCAGTGTTGCCCTCCTCATCTTGATCACAGTGACAGCCACCAGGTGCCTAAGGCCATGTGAGTTGTGGGGCCGCCAGGCACCAGAGGGAGTTGTGTCCTCGCTGGCCGAATAAATCCTTGGTGGGCCATCCTTGTCACCTTCCCTCCAGGGCGTCTTCCGTGGCACCACTGTCCACTGCCCCAGGCCCCCGGCAGGCCTTGTGTTTGTGTGTGTGTGCGTGTGTGTGTGGTGGTGGGAGGGGGCGGCGGCACTGTGCACAGCTCAGGGCCAGGGCAGCAGGGCCTGGGGGAGGACGTGGCTGAGTGGACTGAGGGCCCAGGGGTCTGCCCCTCTAACTGAAGCCCCGGGCCCCTCCGTGGAAACTGCGTAACCTCACTGTACAAAGAAAAGACATTATAGATGGACAAGGGGTGGCAGTTGTCAAAACTGAGGCACGGGCCTGTGAGGCCCGAGTGAGACGGCCGAGGTTCCCAGTCCCGCCTGGCTCTGGGGCCTGGCCACGAGGCGCCGCTCCTGGCTCTCCCTCCTAGACCCACTGAGGCACCGAGGTGGACCAGACTGTCCAGCACTACCGAAGGCCCTGGTCATCAGGCTACCGGGACCCATCAGGAAATTTAGGACCAAGGTTGGTCATCTCGTGGGGGAGCTATCTCTAAGGGAAGGTCGCCTTCCTAATTATCTACAGCGCAGCGCTTCCTCTCCCAGCCACAGTCAGCAAGGGAGCCGGACGCCCGGGTAGGAACAGCCTCTGCGGCTGTCACTCTCAGCGGCCTGCGTGGTGGTCGGGTTGGGCGCCTGCGCACAGCGATGCGTTGGAGACACACTGGTAGCAGGGCCTCTCCTCTTAGGGGAAAGCAGGTGACGCAGGCCACTTTTGCAAAATGGACATTCCGGAAGGTCCTATTTCACAAGATGCACGGGCCTCTTGCCACTAGGTGACCTCCGGAGTGCCAGGGGAGCCTTTCAACACGCCTCAGGTTTGTAGAGTGAGAAGTCACTGTCAAGAGGGAGAAAGATGCCGCTCCCCACCCCCCGCCCGGCTCTAAACCAGTGCTTTCCTGGGAAAGCCGGGGCATAGCCGGGACACCAAGTCACGGACGTGGGCTCCACGCACGAGAGGCAGCTCTGGAAGGGCAGGGCAGTCCGTGCCGTCAGTTGATGGGCCTTCAGCGCTGACACAGGGCGGGCACGCCACCCAGATTGTTAAAGTACTACGCGCATATCCTAAGTACAGTGACAGTAACTGTTCTCGGCCCAAAGGGATGTTAGTATGTAGAAAACAGCTTAGACTGGGCGCCATGCTTGGCCCAGTGAATTGTGCGACTCCCTGCGCAGCCAGCCCCGCCAGCTCACCTGCCTTGTGGCTTGGGAAATTCATTCCCTGCAATCGTGCCTTCCTCAGCAAACAGCCACCCTGGCTCCAGGGCCCAGCTCCAGCACCAGCTCTGAGACTTCGCACAGCTTTCCTGCACAACAGGCTTCCATGACCAAGCGCTCGGCACTACGTTCTGCTGCAGCCTTCCCACTCGGCTTTGGGCTGCGCAAAGGATGGGGCCTTCTCAGCCCTCCCCGCAGCCCCTGCACATGCCTGCACTATACCTGCATCTGTACCTGAACGCAAGTCAGCCAGGAGCGAGGGGGTGAGCCTGCGGGACAGATGGCAGCAGTGGAGAGGGTGATGCTGCCACCAGCTTGGGTCAACAGGTAGGCTCACCTGAAGCCAGACTAAATCCTCATCACAGAATCCAAGGGTGGGAGATGCTGAGCCGGTGAATTTTCCATGAAATTGAAAGAGGGCAGGGCAATCGGCACCATGGTTCAGACGCCTGCCTCCCGTGTCAGAGTGCCTGGGTTTGAGTGCCACTGCCGCTCCCAATTCTAGCTCCCTGTCAGGGAGCAGGTGATAGCTCAAGCAGCTGGGTCCCTGCCACTGGAAGACCCACATGGAGTTTCCAGCCCCGGACTTCGGCCTGGCCCAGCCCTGGCTTTTACAGGCATTCACACAACCATCTAGAGAATGAGATCTGCCTCTATCCCTCTGCCTTCCAAGTAAATTAAAAAAAAATTTTTTTAAGAAATTAAGGGGGTCGGCACTGTGGCGCAGTGGGTTAATGCCCTGGCCTTAAGTGCCGGCATCCCATATGGATGCCGGTTCGAGACCTGGCTGCTGCACTTCCGATCCAGCTCTCTGTTATGGCCTGGGAAAGCAGTAGAAGATGGCCCAAGTCCTTGGGCCCCTGCACCCACATGGGAGACCCGGAAGAAGCTCCTGGCTTCTATCTTCGGATCGGCGCAGCTCTGGCCATTGTGGCCACTTGGGGAGTGAAACATTGGATGGAAGACGTCTCTCTCTCTCTCTCTGCCTCTCCTCTCTGTGTAACTCTGACTTTCAAATAAATAATAAACATTTTTTTAAAATTAAGTCAGTTCTAAAAATCATGAAAGGGTATACGAGATGCGAAACATCAGTAAAACCAACATTCCTTTCATAATGAAATAATTTATTATTTGTTAACAGTTGAACAACACAGAAGTTTACATATACACAGCAAAAATTCTCTAAAACATGGAATAGTTTCTAAAAATGCATGTGCTAACTGTAGTAAAAAGCACCATTGTCTATGGTCTTGACACAGGATTTACATTGGCGTCGTAGTTACAGAGCAAAATAAACATCAGAACTCCATACTCTTTCAGCTGCCGGCCCCTGGTGCTCGGGCTGTGTTTACCATGGGAAGACGGCCCCAAATGGATGGTGAACAGCAAGGATCCCAGGAGCACCAATTCGAGGGACAAGGGACTAAGGTGAGTTTGGTTCTCAGGTGAAAGCTAAAAGGAAGATCCTCTTAACCTGCCACCCTCCCTCCCCTGCAGATAGAGTGAGAAATCGAAATAAAAAAGAAAAATAAAAAAATAAAAACCTGGATAAATCTTAGAACTAGGAGCCTTACTAATTGGATTTCTTCAGCCACTCCTCAGCTCAATCTAGCGGTGCCAGGCAATCATCCCCTCCCTCAAAGAAAACCCCCTGTGTGAGAAGTATTGAGAGTGAAAGAATCCTCAGAAATCACGTATCACACCCCACCGTCCGAATCGGCATCTTTGACAACGAAACCCCCCGCAGTCTGTGGAGGTCCGATCATGGAGAAGCAGCAAGACCCCCCACCCCATCTAAACAGGTCCTCGGGTGGCCTTCTCCCAGGGAGGCCTTTCAGAGCAGGGGTAAACGCGCTGCATCAGAGTCAGATGTGAAAAAAAAAAAAAAAAAAACAAAAAACAAAAAACAAAAAACCACAGATGGACAGGCAGGACATCGCCTTGCAGCCTTCACCGCCTGGTGTTCAACACACAGGGACGGTGAGGGGGGGCAGACAGAGAGAAATACAACGAAAGACAGAAAACCAAGAGCCGCAGTTCTGGTTAAGAAGCATAATGAAAGTGTCTCTTGTCAACACAGTACTGCATTAAAAACCCAGTTTCAAAAACAAGCTTTTTCCTTAAAGGATGGGGAAGAGGCAAGAGGGAAAAAGTCCACAAAATCCGTTATCAAGCCCCACGCCACTGCCAGCCAGTTACCTTGAGCATCATTGTCCTACCTCCTTGACATTTTTTTCTCTCACCCCAGGGTTTGCTCTGGGCCACTCTTGGGCATGGGGGAAGAGAGAGGGCCATGGATACCCGGGTGAGGACCCTTTGTTTGTTCTGGAAAAAGTAGAGGTTAAAGGAAAACGCCCTTCTTAGAAAATAAAAATAAAAGCCCTCAAGTGGCCGACTGCAGACCCGGGCCTACTTGATTCTCAGTTCTGAATGGGCCTGGAAATTCTTGGCAGGGAGAACCCAGGTCCTGCCCCAGAGTGGGATGCTCTTTGAGCCGCTGACCTAGCCTTAGGTCTGTGACCAGACGGGGGAGCCAGCAGTCGCTCTCCGCACCTTGAAGAATTCAAGCTCTCTTCTCAACCAGAGAGAACCAACAGAGAGAACCTTGGGGGCCGGGCGCCGCCACTCATGGCCGACAGCAGATGGAAGCCGTGTCTGGGGGATGGCAGCAGCAGCACACTGCTTTTCTCACTGCGTGGACGTCAGCTGAACGACACACGCTTCCGTCCCCACTTACTGCACCGGCCAGGGTCCATAGGAGTGCAGTTTAGATTTTTTTCCTTTTTAAAAATCAACTTTTACATAAAAATATGCATGTGCCTATATTTACACACATCTATATTGACGTACAATTGTCAAAGTCTTAAAGGCTGGGGTTTATATCTTTGCCCATCCCCTCCCCCCAATAACCCTCATAGAAAGGTTTTCCATTTTGCTTTAAGAAACAAAAAATAAATGACAAAAAAAAAAAAAAAAAAAAAAAAAAAAAAACACTAAACAACCAAAAAGGCTCTGTAGCTCTTAGCGGTCACGCTGGTGAGTCAGTGAATGAGAGGACAGACTGGCCGGCCAGGGCTGCCGCCAGCCGCGTGAGGAAGGGGAGTAGCTGCCTCGGGCGAGTTTGCTGGTCCTGAAGCTTACAGTTTTGGTTAGAGAGAAGCCGGTCTGGCTTGCTGACTTGGTCCACCTCGAGCTTTGAAAGTAATGTCTAAACCTGGTGTTGGCTGATCACAAGTGCATCAAAAATAGAGAGCTCTATCAAGTTCCACATTTATATGCAATCAAATTGAAAAGGACCAGACAAACAGTGCAAAGGTCAAATAATGACTATTTTATATTGGGACAGTACATTTCATATTTCAACCAAAAGGACAAAAATGCAGTTTAACTCAAAGGCACAACAATTAAAACACAGAAAACAGCGGCATCCCTCAGATGCCTTATTTCTAAATGAAACAAACAAGGACACAATTTCGTTCCCTTCCCTCCCCCAGTGCAAGCCCACAAGCTTTCTCAAAGTCTTGAGTTTCTGCTGCCATCTAGCATCCAGCATCACGGACTTGTGAGGCGCTTGAATGTAGCAATTCGACAAAATCCAGAGGTCTCATGAGTGGCATCCGAAAGGGACCTCAAAGTGCAGAAATCTCTTTCTCCAATGTGTTAACAGGCGGAGCTGGCTCGTGAACACTGTCACTCTGCTTAAACTCAGGAAGTAGGCTCTCAAAATGCAAAAGGCATACAAGTTGTATTTCAGTGCAAATCTTCAGCTGGTAATTGGAAAAGTTTCCAACAATTTAAAGGAAAAAATAAAAAGGTTTTTGTGTCACCTGCCTCTCCTCCCACCCAAAGCCAAAAGGAAGAAAAACCAGAACAAAACAAAAGAATTACAGGTGACTTCGGAATCATTTAGAAATCTACTACTTCCAATTAAAAAAAATTTTTTAACACATTAAAGAATTACTAAAAAAAAAAGAGTTCCACAAAAGTAATCTCGCTTTGTTTGGATTGCTCTTCAGGTACAGAAGGAACTTCCACGTAGAGTGCATCTGAACTCTGACTTCAGTGGTGCGGAAGGTGGAGGCGCTGGCTGAGCTGCGAGGCTGCGCTGCCCCAGTGACTGCCGGCCGGTGGGGGAGCGCGGGTGCTGCCCACTGCCGAGTCAGCCCTTGAGCCCTTGGGTCGCAGTGCGTCCGTGGATTTGCGGAATGTTCCATCACTTTGTGACACACACACACTGTTTCAGCATCACAGATTTTACAAATGGTTCAAATTCAATGAAAAAGATTCGCCAGAGGCTGAAAGCATCAAGACCTCAAAAAATATGAATGCAAAAATATCGAGGGGAATGAACCAATTTCATAGATACCTACATACAAAGTTCCTAGAACATCTATAAAAGCACAAAGTCATAAGAATTTATTTTCCATTACATTAGTTTATATAAAATGAATAAATAGTATTTATAGATTTAATGTGTCTTATGTACATATACATGTGCTCTGTTTTAGCTTAAATAAAAATGCTACAAAGTGGGAGACCACTTAAGGGAGAAATCATAACCAAAAAGAAAAATCAGCCTTTTAAACTATCAGCCCAAAAGCCTCCAGAAAGAAGTTTCTGGGTGTATCCAAAAATAATCAAGAAGGAGAGGGATTCTAGCAACCCCGTCCCGTCCCCTCCTGTTCACCTGCAACACAGAGAGTAGAAATGCGGACTTTCTCTTTCACTGATGATGGCCACCAGCTCAGCTAGTGCCAAAGCTCAGTTATTGCTGAAAGTTAAATAGGAAAATAGATTAGCATTGGACCAAATGTCACTTATGGGGGGGGGGGGGAGAGGCATAATCACTTTGTGTTAAGTGGGAAATGGAGATCTCATTTATCTCTGAGGTAGGAAAAAAAAAAGTTCCAGAGACAAGTAGCACTGACAAACTTTGAGGGGAAAATGTGCCTTGAGACAGCGGTACACAGCAAGGTCCCATGAACACTGCACAAAAACACATGGTGCCGTTTTGTTTGTGAGAACAGTGGTGGAACCTTCCTCGGCTGTGCGAGCCCAGAGACACGCTGTCGAGTGGGAAATACTGCTCCCATCCAGGGCGGCGGCGACCGGGGTGCGCGTGGGCAGGTGGCAGGGCTGTTTGCCGGAGGTGCTCCTGACTTCCTCGCGGGGGCGAGGCCCACGGCGAAGAGCTCTCGAAGCTTCCTTTGGAGTTCTGAGGTCAGGATCTCCACTTGGAAAGCTGGTTTCCTTCAGTCTCCTAAGCACAAGACACACTCAGACACTTCTCCCAGGCAGGTAACACAGTAAGCCAGAGAACTCGGCAGAAAAGTCTGGTGGACGACACGGGACAGGAGAGGAGACGGGGACTTGCTGAGATGCGACAGTTGCTCGCTCGGTCTAAAGAGTCTCGGGTGCTTCAGACTGACTGGAATGTACAGTCTCTCAGAGACGGATTGTGATGGAGAGAACGAGAAGCTAGCGGGTGCCATCCGATGCCCACAGGCCTAAGCACTTCCTTGGAAACTGTGACCCAGCTGACTGTGTAGAGGTGGGGTACACGGACGTTGACGTGCGAGGGCGAGGCGGGCAGGTCCAGTACACTACCTAATCAGAGCCGACAGGGAGAACCATCCAGGGGGCGGCCGGCACACGCGCCCTCAGAGCCCGAGACACACGTCCTGGCTGTCCTGCAGCTTTATTCTCTTGACGCTGGCGCTGGAGTAGCCCTCGTCACTGCCCAGGCTCTGCGTGCTGGCCCGCTCGTCAGAATCACTCACGCTGCTGCTGCTCCAGTCCAGGTCGCCCGTGAGATAGTCTGTGCTCTCCACGTCTACATCGATCTCCTCTGCAGACGGGGCGGGGGGAGGGGAGAGGGGGGAGGAGATGGGGGGACACACACACACACACACACCCGTCAGTGAGGGCGCCTACAGAGCTCACAGGCTGACGGTCAGACCTCCCCCAGCTGAACCCTTCTTGGCCGCTGCTACCTAACGCTAAGGGGACAGAGAGATGCCCTCGGGTGGGCAGACACGGCCCTCAGCGCCCCACCCGAGAGCAGCGGGAGGCGCACGGAGGGGCCGGGTGGCTCACCCCTGTCGGAGTCGGAGCGCTCCGAGGAGACGGTGGAGCCGATGCTGTCCATGCGGACCCTCTCAATGCCCAGCTTCTCCAGCTGCCTCCTCAGGTGCCGCTGCTCCCGCTGCAGCTGGTCGATTTGGTGGACGGCTCTTCTGTCACAGTCTTCAAGTTTCTGCAAGTCAAAGGGCCGAGTCCTAAGCTGCCATGCCGCACCTTCCCGCCCTGCAGGGAAACATGCTGGTGTCCTCAGAAGCCGTTTGCTGTGGCAGGAAGTTGGCTGGCCTAACCTCTGCAGCACTGCCGTGGCTGTGGGCACGCGCCCTCACAGCGATTCTGGGTGAGCTCTGACACTCTGGCCCCTGCCACCCCTCGGTTTGGGTATGGAAAAGACTGCAGGCCGGAGTCTCCAGCCTGGTCTTCATACCCATCGCCTGAACACCCAAGCTCTGGGAACACCCCAGCTTCACCAGATGGAAGCTTGAGGAACACCCATCCGTTCAAAATTAAGGAGGTTCCTTTTCTCTCGGAATTGTCCTCAATGCAGGCTACCAACCACAATTCAGTGATATGTGTGCTGGACAGCGACGTGGCGGTGGCTCTCAGGAGTGTGGGCACAACTCGCCTTATCAGTGCCAGTCACCTGGGCACTGAGGGTCAACCCTGAGCTGGATTCTCTGGGAGGGCAGGGGCTGGACAGAGCACAAAACCCAGGCCGCTTCCCTCGTGGAATCTACAGGCAACTCAACAGACACACAAACCACCACCAAATGCCAACTGTGGCAAGTGCTGGGACAGAGATACCCAGACATGACCACCTGTCACAGAGAGAAGCAGACTGAGTCAGGAAGGCTTCTCTGAGCTCATGAGACTCGTGCTGAGATCTGGAGGGTGGGTAGTGGACAGTTAACAAGGTGGAGGAGACAGGGAAAGCATACTGACCAGAGGCACTGGCACGCACAAAGGCCCTGTGGTAGAAGCACACGAGTGCAAGAGTCTGAAAGATGGGCTGGACAGAGGGGAGTGTGGGGACAAGATGATGCTGCAGGTGAGGGCCAGGTCAGGCAGAGCCTGGGGCAGGCCTGGTGCCAGTTTGTCCTGAGCCACAGAAGAGCTGTAACTGGGCAAGGGGTTAATTTGAGCTTTAGAAGGAAGGACCTAAGGAGAGCAGATAGGAAGGGAAAGAGGGAAGGGAGACAGCTGAGGAACTGCACGCAGTGGACGGTGCTAGGTGAAGGTGGAAGCCGACCAGGGTGTGAAATATGGAGGCCTGGACGTGGCTCAGGTGTGGTGGCTAAGGAACACGAGCTACCGAGAACGCCGAGTTTCTGGGTGTGCAACTGGATGGCGAGCTGGCTGGATCCTTCATTCCTGGAGTGTGGGGTTGAGAGATACTCGGATGGTTTTGGACATGCTGCATCTGCGGTGTCTTTGGTTCATCTAAGAGGTGGGTTGGAGGAGCTCAGGGGAGAGGACTGTCCTGGAGATAGTCTGTCCCTCACAACAACAGAAACACCCTACTGGAGAGAGAAGCTAATGAGGCACCCCAGCATAAAGCGGCACTTACCTTTATGTGCAATTTGGCTTTTGTTAATAAACTCAACGTAGTGTGTCGATTTGATTCGGGCCCAAGTGGCACCAGCCCCTTCAGCTTCTCCAGGCACAAGCGAAGATGAGCCCGTCTAGAAAAACAAGACCGCAGTAGCATCTGAGAGTTTCACAGTGGGCCAGCAGGCAACCCGGGAGGAATGAGTCCTAAACGAAATGAGGCCCAGGCCCAGGGATGGCAAATACTGCCAATGACCTCTCGCCAAATAAAGGCCTTGTGAACCCAGACAGCTCTGGTGAAAACCAAAGGGAAGTGAACTCCAGTGGTATTCTAAGTTACGTCCATCTGTGATACAGGTGCTGCGGGAGGGAGTCCCATCTGCTACTACTACGTACGTGATCAGGTTATCTCCAGGTTTCTGGGCTACAGTGTGACCCACAGAACGTTTAAAACAGGAAATAACGACGTGCCAGGGTGAGGTTTCTTTTAGCTCATACTTCTTTTTTTTAAGAGACTCCATTTGAAACTACAAAGTTGGGGCTGGCACTGTGGTATGGTAGGCTGGGCCTCCATCTGCAGCGCCAGTATCCTATATAAGCTCCGGTTGGTGTCCCGGCTATTCCTCTTCCAATCCAGCTCTCTGCTACGACCTGGGAAAGCAGTGAAAGATGGCCCAAGTCCTTGGGCCCCTACCCCCACGTGGGAGACCAGGAAGAATCTCCTGGCTCCTGGCTTCGGATTGGTGCAGCTCCAGCCGTTGAGGCCAATTGGGGAGTAAACCAGCAGATGGAAGACCTCTCTCTCTCTCTCTCTCTCTCTCTGCCTTTCCTTCTCTCTCTGTGTAACTCTGACTTTCAAGTAAAATAAATAAATCTTTTTAAAAAAATAATGACAGCGGCTGAGCAGGGAGAAGGCAGGAAACAATTAGAGAAAAAGGAAGAGAGGGAGGGAAATTTTTACTGAGTAATTTTTTCTTCATTATTTATTTATAAATATTTCTCATATTTGAAAGGCAGAGCAAGAGACAGACAGACAGACAGAGATACACATATCTTCCATCTGCTTGTTCACTCCCCAAATGTCCACAACAGCAAGAGCTGGGCCAGGCTGAAGCCAGGAGCCTGGCACTCCAACCAGGTCTCCTATATGGGTGGCAGAGGCCCAAGCATTGGAGGCATCATGTGCTGCCTCCCAGGACGCATTAGCAGGAAGCTGGATCAGAAACAGAGCAGCCAGGATTCACAATGCTACTCCAGGGTGGGATGCAGGCATCCCAAGAGATAGATAGCTTAACCTGCTGTGCAACAACACTTGCCCCTGAGCCATTTTTTAATACTTATTGTTTTTTTCAACTATATAAATTTACTGCTTCCGAAAAAGTTAAAATTTTTTTAAATGCAAAAGTGCATTATTGGCATTGCCATATCAATGCACACGCTAAGCAGCAACCAAGAAAAACCGCCTCTCAGTGGAGTGTGGCAGATGTGCAGGGTAGCGGAGTAGGAAAGGAAGAAGGCTGGATGAGGAGGAAGATCTGGCCACCCACTGAAAACAGAGCCTTCAGTCACAGACTGACCAAATGCGTGCAAGTCCTCATAATCTGGGGTATGTACTCTTCAATGAGACCTTAGTCTGGGTTTTTTTTTTCTAGAAGATTCCAAGAATGAGAGAAACAGTTAAGATAAGGAGTTTTGCTTAAGTCTACCGACTCCTTAAGTCCTTCTCATGCTGCTGCAGTCCACAGTAATTCTTTCATTTTCTGAGTACTCATGTGTTTCGTACTTATTTGTTGCTTAATTATTCACTGCTGCAGTTGTATTGCCACGTGCCTCCAACACACACACACACACACTCGATACATGTTTGCTGAAAAGATTGTGTCATCTGTTCAACTAAACTCTAAGCTTCTAGAGGACAGAGTCCATCTCCACCACCTTTTTGCACCTGCACTGGCGCTCAGAATCTTGGAATTCTAGGTAAGTGTTCACTGCTGGTGTAAACCACCCACAGCAGGGCTCCCTGCAGCCTGGGAGGCTGCTCTCCAGATGAGCTGGGGGAAATATGCCATGCCTTCTGGTTTGCTCTTTCTCCCTCTGACCAATTTTTCTGAATTAGCCAAAGTTGGGAATGAAGACCAAAAGAAGAAAATTGCTTTAGAAAACTCTAGGACAGATGAATATGCATGATATTGAACCAAAAGGTCAATTCACACTCTCCACCAAGACTTCAGGCTGCTCTTGCAAGGATCTAGTTGGTTAGATGTCCATCTGGGCCAGGAGGAAGTTAGATGCTCCAAGGGCCCTCTAAGCCTTCACAAACTGGAGGAGTATAGCATTCATTTCAGAGCTGGGAAGGTGTAGGTTACAAATGCTTCACTTTTTCACAAGACTTCTATTTGTTCTGAAAACCTGTCCACATGGAAGAGCCACAACAAGGACTCACACTTTGTTTGCTCCTCCCACTCCTGCATAAGAGAAAGAAAAAAAAAAAAAAAGAAAAAGGAAAAGAAAAGAAGGATCTGTGTCTAAAAGGTTCTCACCTTGGGTAGAAGAGCCATGAAACAGATCTTGTTATTAGAAGCATTACAAGAAGATAGAATCAGTCATTTATACAGCTATCCAACTTATTTCTCACTGTAAAATTTATAGACTAATTTTCAAATTAGGAGAAAAATTTGTTATTTTGAAACACTGCATGATTCAACAGTATCATATTAGTCTTTTTATGATGTAGGTTTATATACAAAGATGAGTATGTACATTTTTCAGGAAGTTCATCTACTGATAAAAATATAATAATAAAGTCATCTCTTGATGCATCGTCATTTCTAGTTATCCCAGAGGCTAGCCCAGAAAGTGCAATTTTCACTTCCCCAGTGTAGGTTTCCAAAGAGCACTCCTAGTTGTGGAACTAGAAATAAGCCATTTGACTTAAGCTGATGGTAATACCTGCTCATGCACTGTTCTCTGGCCTACTTCTATAAAAATAGGACCAGAGCTGTCTCTGGATTTTTGGAGAGATTCAAAGCCAACTTCTGCCTTTGGCAGGGTTTGCCTTGGCCTTCTTCAGTGTTTTACCGCTCTAGGCCGATGGCTGCTCTGCCCACATGCCACCACCTGCAGACAGATCCCACACTAGGGCCTGGGCCAACCACAGAGAAGGGATGAAGTATACCAAGCAGTCTCAGTTCCATCATAATAAAGCAGTAATATTCAATCCCTACACCAGACAAAAAGCAAACAGACCTCTCTGTAATAGCTTCTACTTAAGACCCTAAACATTCTCTCAGGCACACATCACATACATACATACATGCACACACACACACACACACACACAGGGAGGGAGAGGGAGAAGGGAGAGGGAGAGGGAGAGGGAGAAGTGAGAGGGAGAGAGAAAGGGAGGGGGAGAGGGAGAGGGAGAGGGAGAGGGAGAGATCTGGAATCCTCCAGCTGATCCTGAGCAATGGTGGAGATCCAGATCCAAAACAAATACAAAAAGCGCCTTGTCTCTGCTCTTCCTTCTCAGGCTTGGCTGTTCGCCTGGCCAAAGGCTCTGCTTCTTCAGGACAGGTCTGGTCCATTTTAAACCAGGTCTAACTCCCCTTAGGGGAATTAGCAGAGGTTTTGCCACAGATCCTCAACAAGATGTCACCAAATACCTCCATCTGACCCTGGCACTTGGATCTCTTACACCACCACATCTTTGTCAGACAATCCTCCTTCTGTTGCCAAGAGCTGGCCCTCCCAGCTTCCTGCCCCCTGCAGAAAATGTTTATACAAACCCTGGTCCCCTCCTGCCCTGACTACTTTATTTTTTTTTTAAAAGATTTTATTTATTTACTTGAGAGGTAGAGTTATAGACAGTGAGAGGGAGAGACAGAGACAAAGTCTTCCATCTGCTGATTTATTCCCTAAATGGCCACAATGGCCAGAGCTATGCCGATCTGAAGCCAGGAGTTAGGAGCTTCTTCTGGGTCACCAAAGCAGGTGCATGGGCCCAGGTGGTTGGGCCATCTTCTACTGCTTTCCCAGGCCATAGCAGAGAGCTGGATTGGAAGAGGAGCAGCCGGAACTAGAACTGCTGCCCATATGGGATGTTGGCACTGCAGGTGGAAGATTAATCTACTGCACCATAGCGCTGGCCCCTGGCTACTTTTTTTTTTTTTTTTAATGCTGATCCATACTGCTTTTTACCTAGATGATGAACTTTGACAAGCTTCATCTACTGACTCTTTTGAAAGACCACTTTAATTATTCTGAATGGGCTCATATACCTTTGGTCTATAGTAGCATAAAGAAACCAATCTTTGATCTTAACTAAAATCAGAACCAACCATGGTCTTTAAGTAGTGATAACTAATTTAGGCACAAACTATAGATTCTCTTTAGTAAGGTTTTCTGTCTCACGTTGTATGTATTTTTATTAATATTTTTAATATTCTGAATCTATCAGTCACTATACAACCAAATATCAACGTAGTGATGAAAAGCAAACATTTGGCGCCAGGTGTTTAATTTACCACTTGAGATCTCCATGACCCACATCAGAGTACTTGGGTTCAATTCCTGCCTCCAGCTCCTGACTCCAGCTTCCTGTTAATGTAGAGCCTGGGAGATAGCAAGTGATGGCTCAAGTAACTGAGTTCCTGTCACCCACGTGAGAGACTTGGATTGAGTTCCCAGCTTTGCCGTGGCCCAACCCCAGATGTTGTAAACATTTGGGGAGTGGATCAGTGGATAAATAACAAGTTAAAAAAATAAAAAAGGTAAAGATCTGGGATCCTGTTTTGTTGCTTACTTCCTGTGTGACCTTGAGCAAACAGCTCTGGGAAGCGTCAGTCTCCCCATCAGTAGAGTGAGGATGATGATGTCTACCTTAGAGGGTCATTGTGTGTATTAACTGGGACAAGGTATGGAGCCCCTGGGCCTGGGGCTGACATGGAGTACTCCGTACAGGGGGACACTTGTTCTTTCAATCCTAGCTTCCTCTGTAGGAGGATAATGACCGTGAGCAAACCCAGACAATTATAGTACTATAATAATCCTTTCACAATCAATAGGGAACTCAAAAGTGTCTCATGGGGCAGAGAGATTATCTGTTAAAATCTGGTTCATTGAAATCTTCCTTAAA